TGTTAGGGAGCTCATAGCAAATTTGGTCTTGTGCACGAATAAAATGTGAGAAGTAAGGGAGGTGAAGAACAAGCATTAGAAGTTGAGTACGATTCTAATTTTGAAGTGGTCAAGGAAGGGTTGACTTTGCGTAATCCAAGAGGAGGAAGGCTTTGACTTTAAGTTTAACATTGACATTCACATCAACATTAACAAATGCCAACCATTTTTATAAAACTGAAGACTTTGACATGTATAATAATAAAATATATAAAGTAGTTCAAGAAAGCTAATTTTTCCAATACATAATTACAAACAATATCCAAGAAATGGAATATGTAAAAGTTTCAGAAAGAATAAGTTTTACTAAATTCTACACACCGGATTAAAAAAAAAGTTAGTAAAATAATAAGATTAGGTTATCATGTTTGTCATCATCAAAACAAGCCAGACCAACATAGAGTAAGGTGCTGTTTGTTTTTCTGAAGCCAAAATGTCTGCAGTCTGCGGACCACATCTGCAAGCCTCTGCAGCAGAAGAGGTGGACCAAACGTCTGCAGTCTGCAATAAGAAGACTGTTTGTTTTTTAACGTCTGCAGGCTATTGAAATAAACTGAATTTTAAATAAAATGATTTTACAAACTTAAAATGATTTTTCAACACTAAAATTTTAATAATAATAGTCTTATAACATTGAAAATAAAATTCATGCAACTAAATTAGTCATACAATAAAAAAAATTAGGTTTTACAATAACAATTTCATTTAAAACAATTCATTCTATATTGTGCATCAACTGATCGACAATTTCATCCCTTAACTGAGTCATATATTCACGGTCTGGTGCAGTACCATGTGTTGGAATCTCGTCTTCATCATCCTCAACGGGAACATTGTTATTTCGAAACGGGACATTGGGTTCATCGTATCGTGCGAAATACTCATCACTCAGTCCTTCTCTCCTTATAAAATTATGAAGCGCAAAACATGCCATGACAATGTTTCTTTGTGTCACAAACGGAAATGGTGCCATCCTCTTCAATATAGGGAATCGTGCTTTCAAAACACCAAAAGCACGCTCAATGACATTCCGAAGTTTTGCATGTCCGTGGTTAAATTTTTATTTATTGGTCAACGCACGTCGTTGACGAAAATCTCCAAGCCAATACCTCACATTACGATAAGGGGCCATAAATCCTCGAGTGTGTGCATACGCGGCATCACAAAGATAATATTTGTCTGTAAAAAATGAAAAACACTAATCAATTTTCAAAGTAAGATAAAAATATTAAAAAAAACAAAAACTTACCTGGTGGTGGAAACGGGAATGATGCTTGTGGATCGGCTACTGCTTCTGATAATATTCTAGAGTCATGCGCTACCCCTTCCCACCCAGCCACAACAAATGTAAACATCATGTTGAAGTCACAAATTGCTAATACGTTTTGGTAGCAATCTCCCTTTCCCCTACTTCTATATAAGTCTTGTTTCTTAGCAGGGACAACAACATGTATCAAAGTGCCATCAAGTGCACCAACCGCCCCTTTGAAAACCCGTCGTAGCCTCCTATTATGTCCTGGAATGTTTGGATTCGGATTAAAAGAAGTTGGTACTATAACATCTTGTGCGAAAAACATCATTTTTTCCAACACTTCATAAAAAAATTTATGAACTGTTTGCTTCGAGTGTTGAAATCTCCGCTTGATAATCACGTAACATTGATTATGGCCGATCATCATCAAAAACATATCCATCTTTTCCTCAACCGATACATGTTTGCTGTCCTTTAATGAGTAATTTGCTCTAAAATGAGCACATAGTCGTACAAAAGAGTCACGGGACATACGTAGTACTTCAACACATTGTAAACGATTACGATGTAATAACTCCAATGTGTATTCATGTCCCGTCATTTCCGAATCATTATCCCGCAATCGTTTCACACCCCTCTTCCAAAAATAACGGATGTACAGGTACATAAGAATGACGAGAAGTAACTTTTGATTGTGATCCATTATAAACCTAAAATAAACAAAGTAGAACTTAAAAAAAAACATTACATTAATCATATTTCAAGTAGCAAATAAACATTACAAAAACCATATTTCAAGTAGCAAAAAAAAAATTACATAAACTATATTTCAAGTAGCAAATAAAAATTACATAAACCATATTACAAGTACCATCAAAACATTAGATAAACCATATTCCAAGTAGCAAAATAACAAAAAATAGTTCCAACAAAAGCAAATAAGACCTAACAAATAGTTTCAACACTAGAAAAATCATCGGACAATCTTCCCATCCTTCAACACTCCTAAACTTGTACCCGTCATCTCAAGCCATCCTTGTAATATCTCGGGAATATCGGGCAAATGCATCCACATCTCTCTCATGTTCATGGTCCCTCCAAAAATATGATATGCAACAAAGCGTAAAGGATCTGTAGGGCCTAATTGAAGCACCTCTAACTTCTCTAAACATTGAGGAATTGTATACCCTTTAGTCAAACTTTGCAGAGCTTTTTTCATTTCAAATGCTAAATCGTTAGCAGTAATAGAAGTTCCATTAGGTGAAGAAGAAGACGGTGAGGCACTAGGAGGTATAGGAGTTGAGGGTTTAGCCCTTTTGTTGGGGTTACCAGATGGTGAAGCAGTATATGGTGAAGCAGCAGAAGGTGAAGCTGCAGAAGGTGAAGCAGCAGAAGGTGAAGCTGCAGAAGGTGAAGCAGCAGAAGGTGAAGCAGCAAAAGGTGGTGGCTCACGATGGGAAGTGTCATCACCATCATCATCTATTGCATGAAAAGGGGTGGCGGTAATCTGAAGTGGTGGAACACGACAAGAGGATGCTCCAGCTACTGATGATGACTGGGTTGAGTAACTCCTAAAATTACCAGTGGCACTATTTCCATCAAAAAGACGTGCACAAAGATCTGGAAAAGGCAATGGAATTGTTCTCAATGAAGCAGCCTTCGGATGCCCCTAAACCCAAATGTAACAAAAAAAAAGTATAAGAATATTAGGGAACTTCAAACTTAAATGTTTTATATATATTAATATATGTACCTTCTTAAAATCATCCCACTCCTCGGATGTTAAGTTAAAAGTGTTTGTTTGAGAATTGTATATATTACCAGTTTTGTTTTTTAAATATACCCATCCTATGTATTTGGCTTTCAGATTGTCATATGCATTTTTCATTTGTTTTTGAGTCAACTCAACCCCAAATTTCTCCTTAAGAACTCTTCCAAGCCTTATCCATGAATCTTTCTGCAAACTCAAGCCTTTTCTACCAACACTTTCTACTTCTTCAATACAAGTATCCAATAAGCATTTTAAATGTTCATTGGTCCATTGTTGTTTTTCACCCATTTCTAATAAAAAAATAACAATTTGAGACAAAAAAAAAGTAACAATTTGAGACAATTAACAGTCAACAAATAACAACAATTTTAAGTACTTTCAACAACAATTTGAGACAATTTTAAGCACATTCAACAACAATTTTAAGAACAAATCAACAAGAATTACAACATTCACAACAATATTCTTATTTCCAGCACTTGATTACATCAATTACAGCAACATCTAACATCAAATTTAAGAAAAAAAAACATTTTCAGCAAAAGTAATCAAGAAATTTGACTAGATTATAGACTTTTCAGCAAGAATAAACATCAAATTTAAGAATAAACAAGCAATTTCAGCAAAAGAAATCAAGAAATTACAACATTCACAACAATATTTCTTATTTCCAGCACTTGATTTCATCAATTTCAGCAACAAATAACATTAAATTTAAGAAAAAAAAACCATTTTTAGCAAATAGAATCAAGAAATTTGACTAGATAATAGACATTTCAGCAAGAGTAAACATCAAATTTAAGAATAAACAAACAATTTCAGCAAAAGAAATCAAGAAATTACAACATTCACAGCAATATTTCTTATTTCCAGCACTTGATTTCATCAATTTCAGCAACATCCAACAAGAAACTTATGCAAGAAAGGAAAATGAATCAACAAATTTGAGAAGATTATAGACTTTTCAGCAAGAATAAACACCAATTCCATGTGAAATTTGAAAAAAAAAAAAAAGGAAACAGAGCATACCTTCGATAGCTACCAGGTCCGACAGCCGAGAGGAAGCGCAGCCTGAAGTCCGGCGTTCTGGTCGGCGTGTTGTGGTCGGCGACGGTCGGCGTTGTGGTCGGTGGAGTGCGGCCGGGAGATCAGTGGTGGTGGAGCGAGGGTTGAGGCGCCGATGGTGAAGATGGGTTCGTTCAAGGAGGAGTCGACTGGAAGTAGCGGCGTTTTTTTTTTAGGTTAAAAGCCCGCAGATGTTAGAAGTGGGTGGTCCATGTCTGTGTGGTGAAGACTTCGCGCAGACGTTTTTAGATCTTAGCCCTTCGAAAAAACAAACAATCTGCGGGGATAAAAGTCTGCGCGTTGTCTGCGGGGCGCAGACAAAAGTGGTGCTGCAGCTCTTTTAAAAAAAACAAACGACTCCTAAGTCATATTTAGAAATTGTACCAACAACCTTAGTTGTGATAGAAAGAGGAAAATAAATGTGTTGCTTGAGAATACAGAGGGGGGATTTCAAACTAATGAATACAATATGATGTTTTCTTGTAGAGAAGGGAATACCAAAGATTTTTTTTGGCATGAGGATGCGAGATATATGAATCATGTGATTATTATAATAGAAACTCACAATAAACATTTGAGTTGGATTACACCCAATACAAGAGATTACTTCAATGATCCCACAAGATTTTAGGAAGCCGATGAAGAAGAAAAATAGATAGCAAAGTACAAGATATTAAAAACATAAAAATTGGGTGCTTGTAAAAATTAGGGATAAATGGGTCTTCAAGACCAAGTTAAATGATGGGAAGGTTGATATATAAAGACAATGCACGAATATAAAACTTGACAATTTTCAAGAACTAACTCATCCAAAATGACATTAATATTCTGTATTTTACCCAAAAAGATACACTTGTCACGTGTAATGCAAAACGGGAAAACTCTATTGAATTTCAAAATTGGTAGAGCCCAAAACATGTAAAATGATGACAATACGTATGGTTTTGTTTCTCCCTGAATGAAATACAAGGGTGATGGTATATTAGTGTACACTTACAAGTTACAATCATCAGATAACTTCCTTAATCTTCATCAAGATTATCCGGAATCATAGTGGAACTTTGTACACTTACTTAATTATCTAGACCTACTTTTTGTGATTCCATACATCAACCTCTTACTTATGATGGACCAGCGATCACGGGATCGTTTCCTCCTCATCATTAATCTCCTCAAGGATAACGTATTTTGCAGGGACTGCAGTTTCAGACTCACCTATATCTGATTTATCTTTGTGCAACTTCTGATACCTGATAATATCATATATGCAAAAACAAATTAAATATATAAATACTCATTAAAGGGTACATATTATAGAAGATTCTGGATTTTGTGATCACGTACTTGTACCAATTGAATAGACTCACACCAAACATTATGGTCACGAGACCAGCTCCTTTCAGCCATGTAAATTCATCATGAAAGTAAAACACTGCCACCTGAAAACAAACAAACAAATAAAAAAAAATTATTAACAAAAGAGTAAATTACAAAAATGGTCCCTACCGTATTCTGGAAATTACAAGTTTGGTCCAACTTCCGATTTTGTTACATGCAGCTTTGGTCCCACTGACTCGCACCGTTATAATTGAGGTGGGTGTTAAGTCCCCTTGTAAAATGACCAATTTACCCTCATTTTGTCTTTTTGTTATTCTACAAAATGGTCCTTTATTAAAGGATTTAACGCCTCCTTCTCTAATGGTGTGAGTCAGAGGGACCAAAGCCGTACCCAAGCAATGCAAAGAAATCAGAAGTTGGACTGAACCTGTAATTTCCACAATACCACAGGGACTGTTTTTGTAAATAACAACATACATATCATGAATAAAGATTGCATTGAAATTTGCAGCATACCAGTATAGTGACAGCTTCCTTTACAACCCCAGCTATTGTCACTGTTACTGCACTTGTTACTGAAACAAGGATGTACTCTGTTAATACCTACACAATTAATAGATAGTTAGAGATCAGATGTTCCAGATTTTTTTTCTCTAAGAATAAAGGAAATATATCAAATTAATATATTACCATGAAAAAGGCAAGCATCCCCCCAAAAAGCATGAGGAAGCAACTCCTGATGATATGCCCTGAGGTGTCAAAATAAGTGCTACTTCTAAATTCATCCCATGGATCCAAAATAAGAGATAGCAAAGCTGTTAATAGGGCCATTACAGGAGTTACATAGCTCATTAAGGTCAACGGATTCTTCAAACCTGTTCAAAAAACAATAAAATAAATCTAGTAAGATACTTTCAATTTGCATGCCTGAATTCAAATTAAAAACATAAAGATGAGTAAGTGCTTTCCTTACCATAGGCCTCTTTCTTTAGGTTGGATAGGAATCAAAGTAATCCAGCAAGGAGAGAAACAAGATTAAGTAAAAAAAAAATCATTTTGTATAATTGTTATAAGTAAAAATGAAATAATGAGTTGTACCTGAAGGAGGATTTGAGTCATGCTCCAACGAAAACCAGACATAACAGCAGCAAGCATCACAAAAATGAAACCCCATAAATCAAATTCGGTCTCTCTTGCAACTGTAATCATGATGATATATGTCAGGACCAAAAACTAGCATATAAATTACCATTGCCTATCAAACTTTGATTATATTAAAATAAATAAACGAAATTATTTTCTAAAGTCCAAAGTTATATGCCTAAAAAAAACATCATACCTGTTAATAAAATTCCAGATGATATCACCAACATGATACCTAAAAGTTTAAAGCTTGGAGACTCCAGCCTACAAAACAAATTGATATATATTGTCAAATATCAGGTTAGAGTAATCAAGATTTGAAAAATAAAGCCACATGCAAAGGTCCTTTAGAAAAGCAGAAAACATAATACTAAACAATCATATCAACTTAAAAAAGGTTTAAGCTTTATAACTCTGCAGAAAACCCAAAATCCATCACATTGGCTAGAATTAACAACAAATAGTAAACTTATCAACAGTTATAAATAATATTACCTGAATGCAAAAGCAAATATCAGGAGAAATATAGGAGCAGCAGATTTACACTGCAAAACAAAAGAGGAACTTATAACTAACTAAAGCAACCCAAACATTCCAAAATGAAGTGAAAACAGAAAGATCACTAACCATGGTAGCAAATGTAACAGAGATGAAAACAAGTGATGCATTGCTCAAATTGATATCAAGTGCTGTTCCAAGAGCTGTTGGTACAACTGTGAAATGGAAATTGGATCTGTAGCATTAATGTTGAAACATATCACAAGCTTTAATTTCTTTAAAAAATAAGAAACAAGAAAAATGGCACAAAAAGCTCTACCTCTCATAAAATAGTCCTTCCATGACATAGTTACAGTTGGTTCGAATCTTTGGGACCAAAAGTATGTGATAGCCCTTGAGAAAACAGCTTGCATTGCAAAATGAATTGTGTTCATCAATAAAGGAGCAGGAAATCTCCCCATATCATCTCCCAATAGTGTTTTATTATACCTATTACCATTAAAAAGAACACATTCTAAGTTCTAACTTCTAACACTGCATTATATCAATTCTCAAACTAGCTACTAAAATCAAATAATACCAAAAGACACTTACAATGTCAAGAATGTACTGAAGGTGTACCATACAAGTATGAGGAATAATGTCTTGAGTATATCAGCAATGACAATGGGGTTCTTGGAGCTTGAAAAGCTAGGTTTATGTTTATCAACATAATCATTATTTGAGTCCTTCAATCCTCCATCAAAATCATCTTCGATATCAAAAGAAACACGTTTTTCGTTTATATTTGATCTCCTAGGGCTAAGAGTAGAAGCCAATTCAGCGTTGCTACCACCATTCATCTTTATGCTTTTAACAAAACCTTCTTGTTGACAATTTGGATGCAAAGGGTTCTATTGGAAACCAGATTCTTAACTCTCTCCAATTTGGTTTCCGAATTACATATATATGGTCGGAGCTATCAAAGCGCCAACCACATAGTGCACATTATGAGAACTTAGATTGCGCACCTAAAGCATCAGATCAGTAGTCTATCCAGTAAGATTTCGTAATATATACTAGATAGAACCAACTCCTAAGATCTTAGCAAAATTCAAATCGAGCGCACGACTCAAATAATCCAAGTCTTGTGAACATTACCTGTTTCGATCAAATGTTGAATTGAATTAAAGTCAAAGTAAATCGGGTGTCTTATCATTGGATTTAAGATGATAAACAGCACGAAATCAAGTCGAATCGAATCAAGAAGTATGTAGTGAAGCAACTAGAGTTGAATGAAAAACACACACCTGGATATGGTATTTGGTGGTGATGCGCAGATGGGAAGCGGAGTTGGGACACCGACAGAATAGGTATGGTGATTAATGATTATACAGAGATCTTGAGAAGGAGATGCAGGTAATAAGTGTTGGATATTATGGGGGTAAAAATTAGGTTTGTTGTCAACGTCTTTTCTGTTTCCCCGAGTGGTTCTTCAGAACGTAAAGAGGATGTATGATACTTTTAGTAGATTTCAAGTCAAGATCATATAACTAATGAAATTTTTTTATATTTTAGTATAAAATAAATTGTTTTTTTTTTATTTTATTCTTTTCTTATATAAATTTTATATTCCACTCGATCCAACCCGATCCAAAATTAGTAGGGTTGAAAATTTTAACTTGTTTAATTATCATTTAATATGTTTAAATAAATAATCAACCTATTATCATTTAACATGTTTAAATAAATAATCAACCTTATTTCAACTCATCAGCCTCTTTAATATAATATTTATATGTAATGATTTCAATTTTTATTTATGATAAGAAGATATACATATACAATGTCATTTGAATAATTGATTTGTTTTTATAATCATACCTTTTTAATTTGAACAATCATTTGAGATTGTAACTTATTTAATTAGATGTATTTTTTTCTACTGTATTTATATTTTGAAATTTAAATCAGGGAACATACGCTCAAGTTGTTTATGTTATATGTTGTGTAAAATAAAATAAGAGGATCAATCTTATCAACATGTAAAATATTTTAATGTGAGTTGTATTGAGAAAACTCAGCACACTTATTTGAATAAATTAAATTGGATTTAGTTGAAAATTTCAAAATTTTCTTAATCAAATATGTCAACTCCATCCTAGCTCAAAGCCTCAAACCAACAAATTGTCTTCTAGAAGTTGTAACTTTTATTAATAATTTGTAGCTTGTAAATGTATACAATTAGATTTTTTTTTAGAACGGCAAATCTACACTACTTCTAAATTAGACCTAATACCACCTATGTCTCCAATGACACTTGAACCCTCAACATCTAGGAGGGAGGACAACACCCGATACCGCTGGGCTAGAAGCCCTTTGGTATACAATTAGATAAAAACCAAAATTTAAAAGCTCAAAAAGCTAAAAACTACTTGAATAGCTTTTGAATACAAAACTTTTAACTGTGATTTGTTGAGAATTCATAGTTTTCCGAGAACCCGAAAACTAAAAGTGGAGCGTTAGATCAAAATTAATTCATTAAGGGCATGATCGTCATCTTACCAATCTCATTTAATGTTTAATTTTTATATTATATGAAATATTAATAAAAATGTCTAAAAATTAACATAATGAATCAAATTTTCGGATTTTTTTTAAATAACAGTTTTCATATTTTTAAAAATGCAGAGTTTTTAAATTTTTTTAGAAAACATGAATTTTTTAAAAAATTGAAAAAAATTATTTTTTTTAAAAACAATAAATTGTAAAATCAATAAATTGTAAAACCAATAAATTTTTAAAAAAAAAACTGAAATCTTAAAGAATTTATATAATTTTTTTATCAAAAAATGTCAACTTTTTGTTGATCTTGGGAGACTCTGTTTTTGAATAATGATTTGAAAACAATGGTTATATAAACACTTTTTTTTTTAGTAAATGAGTTGTTTTGAAAAGTTTAAATTTGTTGTGATTTTTGGAGACGTTACACTCACCGTCATACCCACAACGATGCATACGAGGAACGTAGAGAATTCAAAGTGATCAACAAGCAATAGATGAGTACTTAATCCTCCAGTTTATTCATAGAAATTAGCAATAAATGTATTTCATTTGTTTATAATAAATATATCTGTTATGTTTATAAAAGATTTGTTAATAATAATATCCATTGATTCCATGGTAATTTTTAGAAAAGTCTCAATATTTTGGTTATTGGGTAATTTTCAGAAAAGTCCCAAAATTTTGACCAAACTAACGAAAAAGGACAGAATATCGGCTAAATCTGCGAAACCGGTCGAAAAGGGGTTTTTAAACTTTTAGCCCGTATTCTGTGTTTTTCTATAAACAAAATTTTCCCTCACTATTTCCCTCACCCATACCGTCCAACCTAATAAGTGCTTATAATTTTCACCTATCCAAACACTAAAATCTTTTTATTTCTGGTGTCAAACCGCAATAAGCTTAATAAACCCTCTAAATAAGCAATTCCAAACACACCCTCACAACGCCACCTTTAATACATGAGATGCCCGTCTTGAAATCAGCATTGTGACTCTCGTTTTGTCGTCTTGGGTCTTGTTTTGTTTTTTTTTTTTTGAAAACAACAAATGATTCAACGGAAGCCTACACATGCTTTTAAATGTGCACCCCGGGTTCGAGCTCTACAAAGCGGGCAAACCCAGCCCTCAATGAGATTTCCAGGGGAAAATTCCCCCACAAGAGGCTATAAAAGAGGATTTATGGAGTCCCCAAGGATCGAACATCCTACCTCACCCCACTATGGGTTATAAAACCCAATACATCACTACCAGCTAGGTTAGAGATCATTTGTTCGGTCTTGTTTTGTTGATGCCCAGTTCTCTTGTATTATTCTTGTAAATTAAAAACTATTTTAATCTTATTAGATATGCTTGATTTATTTATTATAGCTTTTACGTTTTTATTATTATGAAGCGGTGTCACAGCCCCATTTCTACTTGGAAGTTCCAAGTAGAAAGGCTAACATTCCACTTTGGACCACAAAGCCTGAACCAATAGAAACCTAACGTAAAGGAGGGGTTAGAAATTTACCGCCAGCCAAGGTCTAGGTCTCCGTTGAACTGTGGTGTTTACCATGGACTTCCAAATGACCACCACTTTGGGAATGCATAAATGGAGTACACATACACCCTTTCATATATAGTTATCATGGTTGTTCTCTTTTCCATAAACAAAAATATGTGGCCTGCTTCCTCGAATGTTTCTTCACAAATCTAAACCGATTAGAACTCCTTGATGTTTCTCGTAACTGGTTAACTGGTATTCTTCCATCTCTAGTATGGAGGAATTTGACGACTTTGGATCTTAGTCAAAATCATTTTACTGGTCCAATCCTTTCAGATTTAGGTTCCATTGTCAGTCTCCCACAATTACAACACCTTGATCTTTCTGATAACAATTTCAGTGGAATTCTACCATCTCAGATAGGGAGTTTGAAGAATTTGATTTTCATGGATCTTAGTCAAAACCAATTTTTGGGTCCAATTCATCCATCTTTTGGTTCCATGGTCAATCTCACTGTCCTAGACTTGAGCATCAATAAACTGAATGGATCCATCCCAAAGGAACTAAGTAAGTTGCAAAATCTACAAACATTGAACCTAGGCAACAACAATCTTGGTGGTCTCATTCCCACATCTTTTGGCCAACTAAGCAAACTCAGAATTGTAAACATTTCCATGAATCACATCAATTTGACCTTAGAAAAACTCGATCTTAATCATAACAATCTTGTGGGTCCGATTTATCCTGAATTTGGGATGATGTCAAGACTCTTTTATCTTGATTTTTCATCAAACCAGTTGTCGGGAAATGTATCTTTTCAAAAGCCATGTAATTTCCAGCATCTAGACCTGTCTATGAATCTTATGACCGGAGTTGTCACAGGACTAAGTGCTTGCAATTATTTGGAGTACTTGGACATTAGTGGTAATAACTTTTCTGGACAAATGCTAAACATATCAAACTTTCCAAATTTGGTGTTCTTAAATCAGTCTCAGAATCATCTCATAGCAATTGTTCCTGACCATTCTCCGAGAAACAAACTCGTGCTCTATTTGGCCACTTTAATTCCTACCATTGTTGGAGGTGGCTTCTTAGTGCTTTTGTATGTGCATTACCATCATCACAAGGCTAGAACGAAGAAGTTCCAGCAGCCAGAAACAACAAGGCATGGAGATGTATGCTCAATATTGAATTATGATGGAACACTTGCATATGAAGACTTCATTAATGCTACAGAGGACTTTGATCTCAAATATTGTATCGGAACAGGTGGCTATGGTAGTGTTTATGAAGCAAAACTACCAAACGGTAAAACCTTTGCTTTGAAAAAACTTCATAGGTTTGAAGCCGAGCAACCAGGCATTCAACCAAAGTTTCAAGAACGAGGTCCAAGTCTTAACCAACCTAAGGCACAAAAACATAGTGAAACTCTATGGTTTTGTCTTGCATAAAAAATGCAACTTCCTTGTATATGAATACATGGAAAACGGGAGCCTATTTTGCGCACCGAGTGACAGTGAAATTGCTGTTGAATTGTGTTGGGTGAAGAGATTGAACATGATTAAACAGATCGCCCATGCTTTGGCGTACATGCACCATGATTGTAGCCCACCTATTGTTCATCGAGACATATCAAGCAACAACATTCTGTTGAACTCAGAAATGGAAGCATTTGTTGCCGATTTTGGAGCAGCTACCCTGATTCCTCCAATCAAACTGTAATTGCAGGAACTTTGGGATATATTGCTCCAGGTATATATATATATATATATATATATATATTATAATATATATATTATATATATATATATATATGCTCGTCTTGGATCCCTGTATTATTAGCATATGTGAATTTTGCTAACAATAATCATTGGTATGATGATGTAGAGCTTGCGTATAACATGATTGTGACTGAAAAATGTGACGTGTATAGCTTTGGCGTGTTGGCACTTGAAATACTTGGAGGGAAGCATCCTAGAGAACTCGTGTCGTCCTTAAACTATTCTTCTAGACATGATACATCGCTGGAAAATATACTGGATGTGCGACTTGCTTATCCAACAGAGATGCTGATTGAAAATGAAATCCTCCGTGTTTATCATGTAGCACTAGCTTGCACTCTCACAGATCCAAACACTCGGCCAACAATGAGAAAAGTGTCTCTGGAATTATCGCGTTGAGGCCTGAGGGTATTTAGATGTATCTTTTTTCTATTTTATTTATATTTTGAAATTTAAGTCGGTCAACATATGTTCAAGCTGTTTATACTATATGTTGTGTTGGAAAAAAAATAAATGGATGAAACGTAATGTTAACTTGTAAATTATTTAATATGGGTTGTGTTGAGAAAACTCAGCTCGTTTGTTTAAACAAATCAAGTTGGATTTAGTTGAACAATTTAAATTTTTTAATCAAAATATGTCAAACTCCAGCCCAACTCAAACTGACAAATGGTCTTTCTACAAAGGATATTTGGAAGGCAAAACTATCTTGTAACTGGAAGTTGTCTTTAAACGTGTCAAATTATACAAAAATCAAAAGTTAAAAGTGAAAAGCTAAAAGCTATTTAAAATAGCCTTTGGATACGAAGATTTTTTTGTTTAAAATACAAGCTAAAAGATCATACAGTTGAATTGAGTTTTTTTCTTATAAACTAAAAGCTCAAAAAATAAATAAATAAAATAATAATAATAATAACTAAACTATGCCGAACACCCCCAGAATTTATTCAAGAATAACTGCTTAGCAATAGCCACAGATTTAGCATTATTGTTTTTTCTGGAAGTTAAGTTAGATTTTCTGGTTCTCAAACAATATGCTCTATTATTTATGTTCGTATATGATTATGTTAAAAAAGAAGATGATTGCAAATAACCAATCAAAAGTTTAATTAAAAAGTAATAAAGGGTAATGATATTAAAAAGACACCCCTTAGACACCCTATAAACACTTTTATTAAAAATCAACCTATAATAAACTATTTATAATTTACTTTTTCAAAAAACAATACAAATTCAACCAATAAAAAAAACTTTAAAAATCAGGTGTCTAAATGGAAAATTAAGGTCTCTTTTTTAGCCAACCCCTATTTCAATTAAAAAGTAATTGATATTATCACACTACACACGTGGGTTATTTGATCCCACATCAAGCGTGGTTGGCGATATTGTGTCTCATCATTATAATTACATTGACAAGTGAGCCTAAAATGACCAGTAAATGATTGTATATCTCACACTTTGTTACAGAAGGATGTTAATATACGTAAAAATAATAATAATAAGTATTTCTTAACAAGAAAAAAAGCAAATAATGAAATAACAGAAACACTATTATAAACAAACCGAAAACTGTAAACTACATACTGATACACATACACTCCCCTGAAATGTAAGATCTAAAACGGGCCAAGTTCATGATATTATACAACAAGAAAGTCAAAGTCAAAAACCAAAAAACAAAAAACAAAATCATCGAACATCAAGCTTACCAGAAGGACTAAGATTCCCCATCTTTTCTGTAATTTTATCTAAATTATTATTCGTATTCCACAAAGATTTACGCTGACCCAATTCATCATGTTTGTTAATTACATCTCGCCTCGCTGACTGGACTTCCTGTGTGTCCCCACCGCCAGGTGTCTCCGTCAGAAATTGTTCCCAGAACACATCATTCGCTCCTGCTTGCACTGGCGGCACTGTGGCGGCACCACCATCACCATCCGTGGCGGCAGCAGGGGCGGCATTCACATCAATCCCTGAAGATTTCACCCGAGAAACCTCGTTGAAATCACCGGAAACCTGCTTTTCCGGCTGTGTGAGTATGCCAAAATCGTATGTTTCTTCACCGGAAACTTTAACAATGTCGTTCACAAAATCCGTCCAAAACTTCAAAGACGATTCCAACTTGTTCAACAACGGAATGGAATCAGGATTCCCGTTGTCGTCGGCATTGGCTTCATCATGCAAGTAAGTTGTTATTAGCAACCGTCTTTTTCTGGTGTTGGATTCCAAAAACCCGGGTTTTTCAAGGATTTGAGCAAGGAATGACATTGTTTTCTTGTGTCTTAGTTGTATTTTTTGTACTCGTTCACGTAAAGTAGCAAAATTTTGTTCGTATTCTTGATTTTCTTGTTTGTGTCTTTGTAGCACAAGGCGAAGGGAATTGGTTTCATGTTTTAATTTTTGGATATCGTCCTCGTATTCTTGTCTCTCAGAAGGAGACAAGGTGGCCGGAGTACTTCCTTGTGGTGGTGTTGAGTGGCTGTGGATTGGTTTCCGGCGGTGGATTTTTTTCAGAAGGTGTCTTTGTCCTCTTAGGAATTCATCGTTTGCAAACTCCCATTGGTCAGGATCTATCTTTCTAAAACCCTGTATAAAAGATTTCCATTAGATTTGGCTAAAATAGAAGATGAAGATTTTGTCCCACATTGATAGCAAGAGGAAATGTGGAGATGTCTCCATGCCTATAAATCTTTCGAGAGTTTAGGTGTATTTGAGAGATTAGTCTATGTGATTGTAATAATTAATCATACAACGTGGTTTTGTAATAACAATATATAATCATTAATCATACAACATGGTTTTTCTCCGGTTTTCATCATTTAAAGCAGCAGAAAATTTGCCCTACACTACACCGTTTTAAAATTGGCAAAAGGAATGTAACATCATTGCATAAATAAGTGTTTTACCCTAACATAACGTATTAGATATACAAGAGACAACAAGAAGATGCTTACATATGTATTGAGCTGTCGAACAAAACTTGAGAAATTGTTGTGCTTGAAGTATTTAGGAAGCAATTCACTGGCGAATTCAGGTGGATTCCAAACAACAAAACTACTCCCAGTATGACTCCAAGAAACAATATGATCTGTCAAAGGGTCATCTACCATTTCATATGTTTTAGTCAGGAAAGGGGGTGATGAATTTGAACCACCTTGAGAACCATCCATCACAATCCAAAAAACTTCAATCAATCACTCAATCTCTATAATTCGTATCCACAGACACTAAAATCATCTTCAGTAATTCCTTTTAATTTCAATTATCTCAAATCAAACCAACCTGCCCCAATTAGATCAAATCCATAATCAGCACTAGAACCAATTGATAATCACGGATATTGTCAATAGGGTTGAAATGATATGGATAAGACATCCAGAACAACCTAGGGCATGTAACATAGAATACGGAAATGGCAATTGAAATTAAAACATTTCTTCAAAGATCCCGACCTTTTGATTTTAAAATAAATGTAAGGATAGGGGTTAGATCAAAGAAAGTATTCGTGATTTCGTATGGAAGAACTTACTTTGACTGCAATACAGGAAGACGACGAGAAGTTGACTTTGACGTTTGAAGTTGAATAGCTTCGGATTGATCGAGTTTAATCTGGAAACGTATGTTTGATTTCAATACAAAGGGGGGAGGGAGAGAATGGCGTGTGATGGATAAATTAATCTGGGTTCGACCCGAAAAGAAGTGAAACAGCCAACGACACGGTGGGTTTTTAAAGAGCCACCGCCGCCGCCATGTGTCTCATATAATGATCATTAGCGGCCGTTGATGCACAAAATTAATTGAAGGAAAATAAGGGATATAATCCGTGTAATATTTTAAGACACTTTTTAGCCCATAGAATTTTTGGAGAAGTAAATAGATTAATAGATTATGATGATTGATTGTGTGTTATTTTAAGTTGAAATAAAATAAAATTCTAATTTTCATCGTTAAGATGATGTAAAGTTATTAACGGTGATTTATCCATGAATTATATTAATGAGTGTTGTAAAATTCTTGTCGATTAATTTTCGATTAATCCTAGACGCTATCTGACCGATTAGAAGGCACCTAGCGATTAATCCATTTTTATACAGTGAACGAAACAGTAACAAATAATGAAATTTCAATATTTAAAAAAAGTTTTATCTTAATAGAAACTATTTAAGAAATGATTAGTGTTGTATGAACCATATTAACCTATTTTGTTATGATATTAATTGTATTTACGGACTTTGTTATGATATTACTTATATCTATTTTTTTAAAAATTCAATGAATTAGCAATTTAGGGTCTCTGATTAATCCTCGGCTACCTGATTGATCTCTTAACCACAATCAATCGACTAGCTAACGTCGAACGTTTTTTACAACCTTGATATTAATAATTAAAATCTATAAATTCATATTAAATATGTAACATCATGTTTGGAAAGAAGACAAATACCACAACATACATACATACAATTGCAATCTATGCATCGAACTTTAGTTCAATTTTTCACACCAAGTAAGATCAAAAGGTGTGGGAAGACTATTTGAAATATTTGTTGATTTATTGTGGATTGGGACCAAAAGACAAGTTTCATTCTATTACTAGATTCAAATTCACTTAAAATAATTTTCTTTGTCTTTGATAATCTTTTTTTCAGAAACGACGAATAAATATATAATAAAATAAAGCCCCACAACCAGCCTGAAGCTAGATTAAGGCAAAAGAAAAGTTTACAATACAAATTACAAGAAAGAAAACAGGGAACAATACCAATCAATTCTATTGTTAACTTAACATTGTAATATGCACCTAGCAGTGTGTAAAATTGTCACTTATAACCACCCAATCCAAATTACCAATTATAACCGATCAATCTAATTAAAACCCACAAATGGATATTTAGTTGTAATGAGATTTGATCAGTTAAAAAATCAATATATAAATTGAATTGGTCGATTCTTAGACAAATCCAAAAAAAAAATCGAATTGATCCAATACAATTGAATTTATCCAATTATCATACGATTATCATCCAATGTTCTAATTATCATAAATTAATTATTAATATATAAATTAATATATATTAATTGTTTATAAAGAAATTTCATAATTTTAAATATCAAGTAAGATTACTTTGATGGGACTAATCGGATATATCAATAATAAAAATTCAATGACTAAAACCGATTTAATACACAGTTCAAATGGATCGGTTAGGTTCGATTGAATTGGATTGATTGGAAATATCTAATAATCAATAGATTATTGGATTTGAATAGTTTTACAGAAAAACATTAGATAACAAGTGACAAAAACAACTACATGCATATGAAGCTTACACATTTTCAATGAATGCAATCACAAAAATAAGGTTATAATGCTTCAAATTTAGGTCTATATAGTT